CATTTCTTGCTGGGTATACAGTGGAAGGCGACTGTCTGTGTTTTTATACAGACGATAAGTGATCTTGAATCGTGAATTTCCCTGATGTTCAAATCCCAGCCACTTTGGTGAATAATGAGCTTCTCCGGTTTAACCACATGCTGAAAAAGTGCACACATAGGGGTGAATTTCAAGATTTTCAGTTTTCAAAAATCTTCAAAAATTAATCATTTAAATTAATGGACATTTAAACCCACATGAATTACTGTCTGGTGGCCACTGTAGCCTGACAGAAAAAATCTATTGATGCCTGAGTATTTCAGCCAGGTCCGCTGCCTTGTAAAAAGAGCCCAGATTGTGCGGTGTTATATAACTTTCGTTTGTTCACGAACCTGGCACATTGCGCTGCTGACCTCTTTTCAATAGGGGCCAGATTAACATGCAGCGGTGCTGTGTGGGTCATCACTGCGGTGGTGGAGCACTTTTGTCCCCGGTGGTAATCCGCTCGCTCTAAATGCCCAAAACCGTGGTATGCTGTTTCAAAACAAGGCTGGATTATCTCCACTATTGACAGTGAAAAAATGTCGGTAATGCTCAGAAGCTCCGCCTTTTGGCCGAACACGGTCTTTTGTTACAAGGCTTAGCTCTTTTGTCCCAGTTTCGGGCTCCCCGGCTTCGTGTATAAAGCCTTTGTGCTCGAAAAATGGGTCCCCCGGCAGCAAGTGGTTAAAGTAAATGGAGTTAAAATTTCTTATGTGCGATGTCATCCAAGGTACCCAATCAAGTGTAGTGTGTAAGTAGAAATATATTGATATGTAGGTCATTCAAGGCCCACTTTTGTCGATGGATTTTTTTTTTGTCAAGTGAAAGGCCAGCTGCACAACGGGCTCTTGACCAATAGGAATGGGTGAACTGTCATAGGTCTTTAAAATAAGCCTTCTGTTTCCACCATTACCTTATATTCACTTTGCAGAATTCAAAAGGCAGTAACACTTGACACCTCTGTGGGGATGGACACTTTGACAGCCAGAAAACTGAGAAGGCGAGCTGTGGCTACCATTTGTGCACATGCAGGATATGAAAGTAAGTGGTAAAATTGTAATATACATTGTGATCAAATCAAACACACCTTTTTGCTAGCTCTACTGTTCAAAGTGAAAATATGGTAAATATGCACCACTTAAACTATACATAGAAGGAATGAACATCCAAATGACCACAAACCTACATGTATGCTACATGTGCATGGGTCTTTCCACGGAGTTTAAATACACCATGTTTTCACACCGTCCTTGAAATTCTCTGCAATATTAAAGCTTACCAAGGAAGGTCAGGATATTGTAGATATGCACCAAAGAATAGTCACATATCAAAGGTACATTAGGCCCAAACTCACTCTGCTGAGACCCCAACATTCACCACTCAAGGAGACAACTATTGTGTCCCATTGAAATTTATGCTAAAGGCTGTGAATTTTGTTTGTTTTTTTAAAACTCATTGAGAAGCTTCATAACTTAACAAATACTCCCTTACTGGTTTTTCATAACCTATTTGGGGCCTATTGTGTAATCAGGGGCTGCAGTTACACACTAAAATAACCCAGGAAGGAATAGGTTTTTGGAGGCTCTTGGAAGAACTACTTTATTCAAAAATTTAGTTGTTTCTACAGTACTTGCTCCCATAACTTAATTTTAAATTTATGGGCAAAATGAGCTAATGGATGATTCCATTTACATATTTAGTCTAAATATATGCTAAGTTTGAAAGGAATTGGGAGTGGACAAAAATCGGGTGTAGAGCAGAAGATGTATTATCCTATGGGATTTAGAGTGGAAGAACCAACAAGACATTTTGTGTCTCCTTGCAACAGATTACATATATGTGCATGTAATTTAAATTCGGAGTTGGATTTGGGATTGCTTTGATTAGGATTGGTATCAAGCTGGAATCCAAACTAAATTTGATCATTAATTTAGCACTGGAGTGTGTCTATCCTTCACATACATGTAGGCTTACTATTTATTGGCATCAAAAACATTTCAGCTCAGCAGGTTGCTTGTATGTATAAACATTATTAAAGACGCGTTTACAATATAGTAGTAATTGTTGCTTTAAAACACATGCTTCATGTACTTACTGCATAAGAGGCATGCTTTTAAATTCATATAAACTTTCATTGAAATTAATGTTTCTTAATGGTTATATGCTGTCGTGATACTCGTGAAAGCATGACTTGCAGTGGCTTCTCTGAATCAAAGGTTAGAACTTTCATAGGTCAGTACCAATATTTCTTGCAGCTGTAATACAGCTAAGTAGTATGTGCATCAATGCTAAACCAAACCATGACCACTGCACTCTTCAGTTGATCTTGTCACAACCTTATCAGTGGCATCTTCCATGCAGTCTCTGCGGGGTTGAAATCCAGTCTAGATGAGTGGCCATTAGTTACAGTCTGCTACTGAAAGCTGCTAGTATGTAGATCCGCAGAAAAAAATAAAAGCCATGTTGTCAATAAATGTACATGTACGCTATACTGTTATATTTTCTTGTTAAGATGAATTATAAGTTAAATTTATTGGTATGTGGAGGAGCTCATTTACTACTGAGGGAATGTTTTTCCTTTAGTTGCAGAGATTTTTTCGTGAAAAATTGAAAACAATTGCAGACAAAACATATTGGTGTTTTTCCCAAGTCATTCACACAAATTTGGTGATGTTTGACAAAAAGCAAAGGACATTACATTAATATTAAGAATAAGTTTTAACCTTAAGTTTTATAAGTTTTGACCTGCCGATCAAATTCTTCTTTACTCGTCATTTTATTTTCTTGCAACTTTGTCGTCATCTTTTCCTTCATTTCGTTAAACTTTTTCATTTCGGATAAAATTAAAGCGAATTCTTCTTGAGAAATATCGCCGTATGCAATCCTGTGTGAGACGTTTTCCTCTGTGGTATTTAATTTGGCATTCATGATCGTGCTTTTTAGTTTTATGGATCAACCTGCGGGAGGCGTACTTTAAAACGTGTAAGCGCCAAATGCTCCAATTGCGAGGCTTTTCATTACAAGTCCTATGGGCCCGGTAATTACTCCCAAAATAGCGGGGATTCCTATAGCGGCAGATGTAGCACGTATCGCTTCGACTCCGTATACTTAATGATTTCTCCTTGCTCGTTTCTCTACGAAAAATGTAAGCTTGTTATCTGATCATTACAAGTGACTTGGTGCTTTCACTCGGGTCTGACATAGTGCATAGTACATACGAAGGCTGTCCGTTAAAGAAATTAAATTGATTGTTTATTTCTCGACAGTGTATCCAAAGTTCGTCAAGGGATCTACATTTGCCTCCCCCTTGTATATCATGTTTGGCACAAGTCTACCTCTCTGCAGACTTAAAACTTGCCGACTTCTTTACCTAGCCACAATTGGAGTTTCAAATCCGTTATCATAATTGTCACCAAGTTTGAGTCTTGATGTACTTTAAAACTCGCGCCGGGAATTGCATTAGAATAAAATCGAACCAATCCACATTGTAAAATCTGGGTGGAATGACTACACTTCCCTGTTCACCACCTTGTAAAAATCACTGGGAGCTTCTCTCTTGTGCGAGTGATGCATCACCGGGGCATTAGCACCCGAAGAAGTCACAAAAAGAGCGTCTCTGTCACTTTGATTGCCCTTGTTCTGTCTTCAATGTTTGCGCCTAAAAATCCTTCTTGAATAAATGCCAAAGCGAGCCTGGTGTTTAGCCTCCCGTTGCATCGGACGATGCCCCCTCCTTTGGAGTGCTATGCCGCCAGGGCTTTCGTCCGCCTTACCCCATCCGTAGCTCTTGACTCCGATCATGAGGCCACCGATCCTGACCTGAGACGCTCCTTGCAGGATACGACCAACCAATCGGGGGACCCCCGCCTGGTTGTACCTCCAACCGTCCCGCCTTGTGGCTCCCCCGCACTGTTGAAGGCTAAGAGCACAAGGCTAAGACATCTTTTCGGCTTCTTCCTCGTCCAAGGCTAAGAAGAAACGCCGCTCCAACCCGAATTCACTCCCATGGATGACGACCCTCCAGTCCGTCTCGGAGGCCTTCACCTCTCTCACCCGCAAGATAGACTCCAAGCCTCAGCCAGGAGCGACGGCACCTGACCCAAATGCTGTCCTGGCCATCCCTTTTCCCTCACAAGGAATGTTTCCAGACGCTGAAGTGGTCTCTGTTGTCCAGCCAGAACAGTTCCCCCAGCGGGACCCAGCTCCAGATCATATCGTGAATCGTGGTGGCTCTGTCCATTGGTACAGCACTTGGGGCAAGTAAACTTACTCCCCTGTTAGCTGGGTCTGGGAATTTGACATTCACCCCCAGTTCCTGTGCTCTGAAGTCCTCTGGTGGTCTCCCTACTACCAGCGCCTACTGTGGAAGATATGTATTCATCGGTATGGCTCACCAGTCTACACACCGGGATGGCCATTCAATTCGGTATCCATGCCTCGAGTGTCCTAATTCGCCAACTTTCCCATCGTCCCCATGCTCATCTCATCTAATAATTCCCTATTCTCTATATATTCTTCCGCTCAGCCTGGCCACGCCCCACATTGCTTGCCGTACATGAGTTCTTCCGTAGTGGGTGTATCCAAAGTGTATATACCGTGACTGTTTCTCCAACCGAAGCTCCTGTGAGTTCCATTGCAGACTTCCTCACATATCTGTTTTACTCGGGTCTCCAGATTGCCACCATCTGCAACTACTGGTCGGCCTTGGCGACTGTTCACTCGGGCCTCAGCGATGGATCAACTGTCTCTAACAGCGCTGCCATCCACCATCCTCTTTGAGGAATGTTACTCAAGTGTGCCCACAACGACTCTCAGACTCTGACTAAAGATGGTGTCCAGTTCGGACTCTCAAGTGATACCTTGCTAGGGCCGAGCATCGCCAAGAATCTAATTAATTCCCGCCTCTTTGTCACTATCGCCTGATGGACGGTCTTGGCCATTATATTTGAAAGCTTAGACTGGCCCGCACAACATGATGAGATGACTTAATCTCACGTCAGGGCCCACGTTTGGGCCGCCTCTTCGTCCAGGTCGTACTTCAGAAGAGTTCCTCTGGTTCATGCGGCTTGCTGGAAATCTCCATCCACCTTCACTAAGTGTTACCTGAAAGATGTTTTGCAGTGTGCCTATCGATGACATGGTTTCTGTATACACTTGTTATGTTCGCCCTAATTGTGAGTATGCAGCTCCAGTTGGGCACGGTATTATTAACCAAAATCAGGCTGATCAACTCGAATGCATTCAAAAGCGTGCCTGTTGTATTATCTTTGGATCTGATTACATCTCATATGTAGATGCTTCTAATTCATTAGGCCTCCAATCTTTGGAAGACAGAAGATGTCATCTCTGCTCCCAATTTGCAAATGAATGTATAAAATTCAACAGATATGCAAATTGGTTTCCCCAATATATCAGTGCCCACAGTACATCTATGTCTCTTAGAAATTCAAATAAGTACCGGATCCTTCATAACAAAACCAACAGATATGGTAATAGTGCAATATGCTTTCTGTTAAAGCTTCTTAATCAAATCACCTAACAGGTTTTTTATAGATTCTTGTGTAGTATTTTGTTTTTCTTTTTGTATTTAATAATTTATTTTTTTTAATCATATTTTGCGATTTTTATTTGTAATTTTGTATGAATGTAAAGACTATGTAATTCAGCGTAATGCTGCGAATTGATTTAATTAAATATGAATATACTTGCCCCTGCCCAGCCACTCCTGCCTATCCTTCCCCACTTAGGCTCCGGTGGTTTTCACCGCTTTGAAAAGGACAAACATGGCGGTGGGATCGCAGTGCATTGTGGAGGGTCAAGGGGCAGAATGCATAATCCAGTCTTTTTAGCGAATTGTAATAGGTACATGGGAAATTTGCATATTTTGGCTGGGCAGGGGTTAGTATCCCTCGGAGACCCGACCTGCACTAATTTTGGGGGGGAAATTTCTGAGCTTGCAACTTTTGACCCAAACACCTTCGACAAAAAAAAAGATACTATCGACCTAACCAACCTATTTTCTTTCAATGTAATAGGAAGCATAGCTATTATTTGTTTGGCCTAATATTCACATACCAGAAACACTAAGAAAAATAAATACAGTTTTATGTTTAATTTTGTGACTCAACTTGCAGAAGCTTCTTGTCCTCATCATCTATAAGCTTACCATTAGTAAGTTACCATTGGCAAGTCACCAAGTGAATCGTTTTAAATTGGCTTTCGTCTTTTTGAATTCTTTGTTTATACGATACGCATCATATCGTGATCCAAGTATTGCAATACGTATCGCATCGTGAGATAGTGGTATTGTTACACCTTTAATTGTTGCCTGTTGTGGGTTCTATGAGTTTGTTAACTCTGGGGGAAAATTAAACAAAGGACCCCTTCACAGCAGGCAACAATAATGTGTGTGTATGCGTACATTTATTGTCATACCATATATGGCTTGTCTGCTGACCTTCACCTGGCCATTCCACTTCCAGTGAGCCAAGATTCAGCCACTGAAACCCTGAATGAGATCCTTCATGAGTACCTGACCATGGTCTGCAAATTGCTGAGGGTAGCTGTGGACAGAGAAGCACTAAAAAGCTGTACTGGATTCCAGGTGTGTTGTGTTAACAGTTATTTCAAAATCTAATGGTTGTTTAAACTTTTTTCATCGGAGAGTAAACAATTACATACATGTATATAATGTAGATATTGTTAGCTCTGAAATCTTTTTCACCTTGTTTGTTAGCTGTTTCAGCACTCAGCTGAAATACATGTAGCTTTTCAACTTTCAATCAGATTCCCTCTTTTTGTTGCCCACTTTTTTTCTTAGGATAATGTAACGGGGAAAAATGACACACTATGGGAACTCGCAAAACAACAAAAACTCTAACTAAACCAAGGATCTTTGAAGGAAAAGTCACAGGAAACTGAATTAATAAGGACTCAGATACCAATATTTGACTTCAAAAAAGGGACACAAAAATAATTCATTAATGAAAAAGTACAGGAAAAATGGAAAAAAACTTTAAAAAGACTAAAAATCCAACACAGTGTGCATAAGTCGCCTTTCAAGTACACTCCAACAAGAAGTCTGTAAATCAAGATAACAAAAGTAAAGAGTATAATAAGAAACAGGGTCTGCTAAATATTCATGACACAATAAACAAGTTCTCTCATACAAAGGAAGTGGAAGGTGCTAATCCCCAGGCAAGAATGAACACATTATGCAACAAGTCCAGCATGCCCATTGTGTGGCAACACAGACCTGTACAGAGACTGAGTGCAGTGGAAAAATTCAAAAGAAAACTATAGATCACATGCATGGTCTATGCCTGTCTATCATTAAAAGTAAAAGCAGTAATGAATCTGTCGTATGTAAATAAGTTAATAAGCAAAGCTTCAAAACTAGAACTTCTTCAAAAGACTAATCTTGTCCGGAATCAAAGTTTACATTGTAAACTAAACAAACTTAAAAACTACATAGAATTAAACTATACTAAAACTACTCACAATACATGAAAGAAAACACTTATTATATAAATGAAGACTCACCAATGACTTGAGCAGACAAAACACAAGCATCGCGCACCACTCTAGTTAAAAGGATGAAAGATGAACACATGTACAGGGACATGTACATACTTCACTGCTGGTCTGCTGTACTGAGAACTGCCTTGACCAGGAGGCAACTTTATAGGGGACTTTGGGCTAAACCAAACAAACGGGGGGGGGGGAGAAACACACTACCAAGAAAGGGGGGGAGATCCAACTGAGACTGAAA